AAAATAGAGATAAAGGAACAAATCCTTTTATTTAAGAAGGTAGATGATGATAATTTAATTTTTTTTTTCTTCACAAAAAACAAATGACCAACAACTTTTGTGGAGATTTGATTTCTGCTGCTCAACTAGTGACTTTTGCACAAAGTAGAATCAGTCTCAAATGATTTTATGAGTTGTAAGAAACACAGATAATCCATGTGAGTCATGGTTTTTGATTGCGCAAAACATCTGTTTTGGTAAAATCAGTGCTAAAGCAAAGGTGCATTTTAAATCATGCTATCCTGAGGTAAACGCAAGATGGTTGTTTTCTTCTTTAAGTTAAGCTTTTTTTTTATTGTATATGAACATGGCTGTCATTTTTTAGGATTTAAAACTGTAGATTCAGCTTTTAACTGCTAAATGGTAATAGGAAAAGAAAACAACACTATTTCAGTGATATTTAAAGGCAGGTTTGAAATGTCCCACATGCAGTAGCTGCAAGATGTGACTTAAATCCTCAATGTGAAATGCAAATGTTGAAGATGTTGGGACGCCTGCAGCAGCAGCTGGTCGGCTGAAAGCAGCTTAAACGTGGAAGTAGTTCACTGTTCAACTTTGGGGTTTAAGTCCTCTGCTGAACTCTCAGAGTAGCCTTAAGTTGAACTTCTCTGCACTCTTCAACCTCCCTCACTCACTCCGCCTTCACTCTGTTGGTGTCTTCACCCTTTTACATTCCTGACCTCGCTGCCCCCCCAGACCTCTCCCACCCCAGCAGCTGTTTGGACTGATTGAAGGTGACTCGGTTGAAAACACAGGTCTTCGGCGCAGATATTAACCAATTTGCTTTAATCCTGCGCCACTTAAGATAAAAGCCACAGGGGAGCAGTATTGACCCGTGCAGGATTACATCGATCAATATCTTATTTCCATTCGTTTTACTGTCGCAGGAGGACACATAATGAGCAGGGGATCTAAAAATCGTGACTGGGTCACTTATGGATGTCAAACATTTTGATTAACATTTACCACAGGCAGCAGAATGAGCTACACTGTACACAGATAGTTTCTGGTGTTAATCACTTGTGACTATAAGTGCAGACGATCAATATATACCGCAGCACCTGTACTGCAATGTAGCACCGTTAGTAGAAGTGGTTTAAAGATATAAGGGAGAAAAGAGGAGAATATTTGGGGACTCACAGGAAAAGGCTCCTGCCAGCTGGCTCCCACTATGGAGGGTCTGATGATGCCAATGTTGAGCTTGTCTTGCTCCTGCTGCACCACGTACTCAGCCAGGGCTTTGGTGTAGGTGTACGTGTTGGGCCTGTCGCCGATGAGCCGCGGTGTGATGTCCCGCACAATGCCGTCATCCATCCACCTGAAGTCAGGAATCGAGAGCTCCGTCAGAGATAAAAGGAACCACAGCGCTGACAAACCTTTTAATCCGTAAACGAGCAGGTATTTTGGCACCGTTTATTATGCGTCCCAGAAGAACAATATCTACTCAAAAAGCTGGCGTTTTTTTTGTGTGTGAAAAGACAATTTGTACCAAGAGATTTGCTTTAAGTGTCAGCTCCATATTCAGCCTACAAGTTGTGACACAAGGCTTTTCTCTGGGTGTTTTAGTGAATGTTAAAGGCACAGCTTCAACACTACAAGGAGGCTGAATCTGTCACCTCAGCTATAAAGGAGGCTGCATCTCCACAGAAAATTCCACCAACCAGTCAAGCTGCAGTTTACATCTATATCAGTCCACACTTACATGTGTAGTGAAGCCTTTGAAAGACTTCAGTTAAAGCCAAAGCTGTTTTGTGAGGACAAAGTCACCTTGACGTGTTATCAACAAATTCTGATCAAATTGTATAATCCATGTGAACGTCTGCACCAACTCTGAAGCAATTCCTTTAAGGTGTTTATGAGAAATCGATTCATGAGAATGAGATGGACAAACAATCCAAAACATAACACCTGCAGGAACAGCTGTCGACATCGTGGAGGCAGAGAAACAGAAACAGAGAATGAGGTCAAAATGAATTCTAACAATCCTAAAAAACTAATAAAATGTCCATTAAATAACAACAACAATCATTTATTACTGTTACTACTATATAATTATGAACAACCAATCCAGGAATCCCCGTTCTGTTTCCTACTGAAGTGACTATCTACCCTCAATCCCAGATTCACTTTATTATTTCCAATAAAAAGAAAAAAACAACTCCAACAACACCTCACCATGATGACGTATCTAGCTCCTCTGTTATTTCTGTGCTTCTATTGATCAGCTGTTTGTCTTTAGACAGTTAGGAAGCAAAACGAGTGTAACGTTTGCAATCTTGTCAAAAGCACCAATCCGTTCAAAGGCGTTAAAAAGAAGGCACAAAGCTTAGAGATGCTTTTCTTTACATTCCTACTTCCACACTTGTCCATTAAAATGTTGAACACAAGTGATGGATGAACTCTGTGTACGCTCAGACTTTCATAGCACTAAAAGACGAAAACATCCCCAAACTGGACGCAGGTTCTGTTGGGATTCACATGTGTCCAGCTGGTGTCTGAACCTGCAGCGTACCATCACAGAATTGATTTTAAAGCCATGCATGGTTCAACACCTGGCTACATCTGTCCTTGATCTACCTCGAGGCCTCTGAGATCCTCAACTGCTCCACCACTGAGGCTGATGCTTCGGGAAACATCCTGATATCACAGCTCAAAAGACGTGCAGTACGACACAGTTATCATGCTGTAAGTAGGTCACTCTACATACTACAGAAGTGTGTTGTGCAGTTCAGCTGAAAAGTCCCTGAAATTTTTGTCATGGGAATGTCAGGCATGGCTTCTCTGTCGAGCAGAAGAAATGATTTTTGGTGTATTTTTAAATTTGACATGTAGAACTAAGTGATTTTGATGAAATATTCCGATTTTTTGTTTTTTTTAAATCACAGACAATTAGTTTAAAAACCATCAGAAAGTCAAATGTGTCTGTTTTTACAGTTTCTGAAAAATATTGTTTTTTTTTAGTTTTTTTTTAATGGTACAAAATAAATGGTGTCATTTTAGTAATTTCTAAAAACAAACAAACATGTAATTTAAACCTGTCAGCACATGTCGGGGTTAATAAGCTTCATTATATTTGATAAAAAAATACGTTTTTTCCCTTGACACTGGCAGAGTTCCTCTTTATTTCAGGTGATGCAGGGTGCCTCCATAAAAGGTTTAACTACCACGTGGACTGAATCATCCTTTAACTGCTTTTAATTAAACTTGCACGGCATTCAACACAGCAGAAATGCTGTCCTATATGTAAAAAAAAAGTTTTAATCATTAGCCATTTATTGATCTTTTTGTACAAACCGTATTATGAAGACTGTAGCTGGTGTAGCAGAAGACAAGTTTTTGAATCAGCCTTTCAAGATTTTCTTACTGGACAGGAAATGGTTAGTTGTCTTTGGGGGAACAAAAGCTTGTCCTGCGTTCACTCACTCAAGAGACTCGATGAGTTTCTTGGGCTCGACGGGCGGCGGGTAGATGACCTCATCGATGTGCTTGCGGTTGCAGTTTGCATAGGCGGTGGAGATGTGAATGAAGGCCTCGAGGTGGTGCATCTGCTGGGCCAGGCCGAGGAGCTGCTGTGTGGCGATCACATTCAGCTGCAGGGCGTGTCTGCAGGAGAGAGCAGAGATACAGCGTTAAAGACCGACTGTCTCCAGCGTGTGTGGGAGGAAAAGGGTGTGCAAACGAGAGCGTGCGTGTGCGTGTGTGGGAGGTAAAAGTTTCGGATTAAGTGCGTGTGGAGAAGAGGCTTTGTGTGTATTTGCTAATATCTCTGAGCATTTGCATGCATGAACGTTTGTTTGCTGACTGCTGAGTGTTCCTTTCTAATGAGAATTTGCCAACTCGTAGGAATTTGCAGAAAATGATTTTAAGCCGGAGCAGAATGACATGACTGGATGGTGAGACATGGAATCAAACAGGCGAGTGGGGGGAAACGAGGACAAGACAGAACGAGAGAGAAATAAAAAGAGCAAACATCTGCTGCTCTTCTAAAATGTGTTTGTCTCAACGTTTTCACTGATTACTCTTTCTAGCTCAAACTACCACTAAAGCAGCCACGAGCACATCAGCATCTCCTCTGGGTGCACAATGAATTCTACCACTGCACTGTCAGAGATATCTGTTGCTCTTCTTCACGTTTTGCCTTCCATGTTTGATCTGGGGCCGTTTTTCCTCCTTAAAAACAAAACGGTGCTGCTCATTCTTCAAATTATAAACGCATCTAAAGCAAACTCGTGATTTCGACCTATACATTCCAAAGACTTGACAATTCTGCCGCATTCACATTAGTAGCTGCATCCAGCCAAGCGTTGCCAATTTCTGCACTAATTGCATCAATAAATGATATGACTGCATTAGAGCAAGTGATGAAGTGTGCATAAGCAGACGGGGCAGAAATGATGAGATTTGTTCCTCTGAAGACAGCACAGTTTCAGTGAAAACAGTAAAAAATACCCATCAAAATTTTTCAGTTGACTGGCTCAGGCCTAGCAGATAGTGTCAATGGTTTTCTATATACTGACTAATCAAAATCCTTCCACTGTTTGGAAGAACAAGCACATTTGTTCTGCTCTTGTAAGGCCAAAAATAGTATTTACAAAGGCACCATTCATTATTATAAACTAGTTTCCTTTACCGATTGTGAAAACAAAATCCTTCCTTCTGTGAGAAAAAGATGAAATGTCATTATTTCCAGAATGATGAACTCCCACGCGGCCGGCAAAACCTCCTGCCGGCCACACACACCGACACATTTCACTTGATAAACCTCAACATTCAGCAGTGGATCTGTGTCAACTCTGCTGCAGCGCTGCAATAACATCCATTTGGCCCGAGGCGACAGCCAGAAAAACCGAGGGTCAATGTAGCCACACAACTACAAGATATACTGCTTCTCTGGCTCAGCGTGGGCGGCGCTCACGAGGGGAGTTTGCGACAGAAAAAGTGAGAGGCGGAGGCAGATGTATGGTGCGTGTCGGTGAGTTGTGGGCGACTGGGCCAGCAGCATGAGTCAGGTGTGGTCGGGCTGTTGGCAGCAGTGTGGAGCGAGCAAAGCGGTGACAGCAGGAGGATGATGATGGCGGTGGTGATCAGAGGACGGGCTCTGCGTTGGCGTCTCATCTTCCCGCCACCTTCTGGGTCCATATGCAGGGCGCCACGCCAGCAGGACGACCAGGGAAAGATGGATACACCTTCCTGCAGCTGACTCATCAGCCATCTGTCTTTTGCTTTGCCGATTTCAATCTCACAACTACAAACCAGTGAAGCTCTGATCTGAAACTAAACACCACTACTTTATATTGTAATTTTAACCATAGTTTCTGTGCAAATATCAGAGTCCAGCTGAAACAGGATCACCGCCTAGAGCAGACAAAATTTAGATACTGAAACTAACCAGCAGCTTACTGTGAACACATTACTTGACTCCACATCACTGTCTGCTTAGCTGTGATTTGTGCTCTGCTACATGTGCTGCAGGCTGTGGTGAAAATTCTCCAAGCATGAATCACGACCTGTACAGGAAAAGATGTATATTTCATAACGGCACATTTCAGACAACATACGTGCCGATACAGATATATCTGCAACAAGCCGTTATCTGCTGAGAATACATTAGATCAACCAACGGGTACATCTGTCAGGCCTCAGTTGTGTAGGAAAACACTTTAAATTGAGGGACGACAAGACAAAAGGCAGGGTGTGGAATATGAACTGTTGGTTGGCCAACCAGAGCTGCACAGCAGCAGTCACTAGTTTATTAATTGATGTCTGGCTTCCAGTTGCTGTGATGAAGCTGCTTTTATTGGCAGTTTGAACAGTAACGTAACACATGAGAAACACATGCACTTACTTTGCTTGGAAAATCTTCAACTCTTCTGAGTCGTTCGAATGAAACATAAGAAGTAATGTGGAAACATCTCGGGCTAAAGGCAATTATTGACACTGGGAAGGAAAATGTAGAGTAGGCCAGTCAATAAAGACGTCCATCTGTGTATCCTCAGACAATGCAGACAGCAACATCCTCCAACACATTCAAAACGTTAGAGCACAGTTCCAAAAACGATAACCGAGAAAACAAAGAGACAATAGATGCCATATTATGATGCATTGCTTTGGATATGAACCCGACCAAGAAGGTGGAGCTCAATGACATCGTCCTCAAATGTCCAGGATTTCACACATGCTGTTCGTTGATGATTACTACTCACGCCACAGAGCCCCAAAACCAGTATTTGGGGCAGGCCTGCATTCAGTACCACACAAAACCAATACAATATCCGATTTATGATTGCACTGTAGAAAGCATCTCAGCATGACAGAAAATCAGCACGGACCACATGGCCTAGATTTATCTATTCATCAATGTGTCACATTTCAACAAAATAACGCAATGATTCCTAAACTTTAATTAACCAAATAGATGATTTATATAGAAATGAGCAGTTAGACTATTCAGGAACTGAAAACAGCTTGCTTTTACCACTTTAACCTGTGACTTTCCCTCCAGATTAGCGAGGTTTCTATAAAAATCGGTCACGTTTCTTGCCGCAGCCACTAATCTCAGTGTTATTATTACAGACAGAAACGAGAGCCAAAGCAACCAAACATCATATTAGAGTTAGACTAAACAGAAATAATGCTTTAGGTGTGGATAAAGACGTGCAGAAGATAAAGACCAGATGAGGTGTCAGCCTGAAAAGCCCCGGACCGAGGCTCAAACTTTCAGTCGTCTGATTTATCGCCCCGCGCTGCTTACAAGGCTGCCGGCCGCTACACAAGAGTAATGACTCTGAGATGACAGAGAGGGGAGGGAAGAGAGAGAAACCGTGAATATGTGACCGAAAGACGGATGAAGAGGGGTGAAAAGAGAGAGAGAAAAAAAAAGAGAAGATGAAGGCCACTTGGTTGGAGAGAGATGGAAGGTGAAGCAGTGCAGACAGAGATGGGAGGGTCTGTCAGGAAGCCCCAGCAGGACGGCAGTAGGAGACATGAAAGCGGTAACAGATCAATATAAATCTGTGTGGACAGCAGAGCGGCAGCTTTATCCCACTGAGCTGACACTCAAACCGCCACGCCTCCAAAAAACACCCATCTTCTTTAAGAGTGGCTCGACGCCACCTCAGACATGAATCATCTACCTCAACTCAGCAGACAGTTGTTTTACAGAAACGAGCTGCTTGCTTATCAAGATGAGGCTTTTTTTAAAACAAATGTGTACACCGATCAGCCACAACTTCAAATACACCTGTCAATTAGACAGTAGTTATGTTAGAAACAGGATAGATGGATGAGTTTAAGCATCTGAGACACTAACACGGGCCAAACTGTGATTAATAAACCAGCAACAGGGTCATGGGTGGCCAAGACTCACTGTTGGAGTCAATGCTGGTCCATAGAAGAGATGCACAAACTGCTGAAAACATAATACAGCTATGATAGAAAGGTGTCACACGAACACACGATGCAGCGCAGACCAGTCAGAATGCTCATGCTGATCACTGTCCACTACCTAAAGCATCTACAATGAGCATCAGAGTTGGACTATGACCAATTTGGTACCACCTCCCTAACCAGACGCCCCGTCATAGCAGCAGTGACCCTACATCACTGCAAACATTGTTAAGCAATGGGAAGAGGAACCAAGAGTTCAAGGTGTTGACTCAGCCTCCAAATTCCCCAGATATCTATCTGATTGAGTATCTGTGACATGTGCTTGAAGAGCAGGTTCAGTCTATAGAAGTCACACTTCACAACTTACAGGAGTTAAAGGATCTGCTGCCAACAATACCACACACATTCAGAGGTCTGTGGAGTTCAGGCCTTGATGGGTCGGAGCTGTTTTGGCGACACAGGTGGGGCTTAAACAGATGGTTGTAATGTTGAGGCTTACTGGTGTACTTTTTAATTTAAAAAAAACAAACAAATCCATTAAAAGATACACATATCAGAAACTTGCATGAGTTTCAGTGTCTTTTGATTACATTTATTAAAATCAGATACAAGGGATCGTTACATTCCTAAAACTAAAGTAATGCACACAGAAAAAGTTGTTTATTTTTAAAACAGGTTGTGCAAGCAGCAGGGTGACAATAGGGTTCTTTCTCTTATTGAATACCGATGAAAGCAGTTTCCGTGCTAACTATAGAAGCTACTGCCTACCTACAAGCTTATTTAGAACTGTGTTTCATCTTTAATTTAATTTGCTGCATCTTATTAACCTGAACATTTTGAAAAGCACTCTGCAAACAATGCTATCTTTACACAAGCCCAATGCATTGCCCAGGTCAGATTTTATTTATGAGCCTGTTGTGTTATGAGTCCAAGGTCCTCCAGCAAAATCCAACACAATTGAGTTGTATTTTATGAAACGTATCATCCTACATTATGGTCAAAATATTGTTTTAAAGTCTCCTCTACTGTAACAGATACATCACTCTTGCTGAAGACAACCAAAAAATAAAAAATAAAAAAAATCCTCAGTTGCCTTACAAGGGTGAATGTTAAAAATAGAACATTTATTCTAAAAATACAAGATATAACTGAATATAAGCTTAAACGCTTTAATGAAATCACCGTATTCCACATGAAACAAACTAAATTTTTGTGAAATTAACAACCAAAGAAATTTAACTTTCGCTTTTTCTCTCCTTTAATGATGTATGTCATTATATCTATGTCATACTGTACAAAAAGACATTTGTGAGTTCTTTCTACTTTTGGCCGTGGTTGCACTGTTTCCATAGAGGTGCAGGACTTTAAACTGTAGTAAAAAAATAGGACCACAGTGAGTAAAAATGTGACTGGAGTGAAAAAAAAAGAAGCCGAGAATCTGCTCGGGGTTCAGTTCATTGGGTTACACTTAAAGGAAACAAGGAGGCCACACAAGTGAAATTCTGAACTTCTCAGGAGCAGAAATGTTGTTTAGAAACTCACTTATTTCTTTCTACACCCTTCAAACTACCAAAAAATTGTAACAAACTCAACAGTTCTCTCTCCGAAAAAAAGAATTTTCTTTTTCTTTCTTTTGTTGCCTGAGTATTTATGCTGTGAGACAAACAAGTAGAACATGTTTGTGTATTTCTCATACAGTCTTAACTTTTCAGGAACAGTGTAAACACATGGCTTTCCTGCTGCCTCTCAGCTCGGTGGCAGCGCAGCACAGACCAGCCCTCACCTCTAGACCTCGGTGCAGTCAGTACCGGGGTCTGGAAGCCTCAGCTAATATTCCCAGGAAGAGAAGTATATTAAAAGTAGGGTCAGGGATGTTTCGCTTCTATATAATCTTTTGCCTGCTGGGCCTGATGAGAGAGCCAAAGCAGACAGCAACTGGATTATTTATGACAGTTAAATACACTGGGAGAAATGTGCCAAAAGTTTCTTGAGAACTTGCACAGCCTGGTAATAATGTTAACGGACACCTTGATGTGCAACTTTTTTATAGGAAGCTGCTGTTTAAACACGAAACAATTGTCTGTTAAATCTTTTTTTAAATTCAAAAAATTGCAGCTGAAATGCAAAACAAGTCATTTATGCTCTAAATCTGACCCAATGCATGTCCTCCAGTAAGCTTGACTATTACTGCCATGGTTACTAATGCAAAATAGTGAGAAGAAGAAAGCTAAACATGAATGGAAAACTTTTTTCTGACTAAAAAGGCAACTGTCTCCAGTAATCTAGGCGTAACTCACAGCATTAAATCAATACAACATAGTTTAGTATTACGCTTCACGGATTAAATGTCCCATATTGTGATAATCCATTTAGAGACTGAGTGGGTCACACTGTTTTGATGTTGCATGTTTAGCTTCAGTGCCACCTAAACTCAGCTGCTGTTTACATCAGATTACTTCTCTCCTGCTCTCTGTGCTCACATATTTTAATGCAGCCATATTCCCAACAAGGCTGTTCTCATTTACATATTTTTCTGTTTCTTTTTTTGTCAGACAATGAAGTGAGTATGAAAAAGTGACTTAAGTGTCACTTCAGAGCCTTTTCCAAGCTTTCTTACCACAACGTCATTCAACAAAGTCACCAAACACGAGCTTAAAAACAACAACTGTGCTGCGAATTCTGTGATCTTTCCATGAAAAATGAAGACAGAAAGTTAAAAGCAAGAGAAAGTCCTGGTCTCATTCACATCTATCAGCTGCTATGCATTCAATCACAGAAGCAGACAGTCTTCCTACTGCTGGATTCAAAGCTGAAGCACTTCATTTACAACAGGACTAAAAGCAGGAGTTTTATAGATAAAATTAAATGAACCATTTTTGCAGCACTTTGAACTGGAAAATTAAAAGACATTCTTGAGTCATATGAGACTTTCATTACTTTGCTGAAAAGTGGGCACAATGTGGGACCGTGAATTCTAGCAAATTGCTTGTTTGTTCAAATTCAGTCAAACAGTTTTGACACATACTGCCAGACGGGGAGATCATCATCATATTTGTGGTAAACGTTGAGTCAGGTGGTCACATTGTGTTGTGCTACAAAGTTGCAAAACACAACTTCAGCCCGTGACACATTTTTTTGGGGACAGTGGATTTGCAACGAGCAAACATTATCATCTGTGGCTGATTCTCTCTCTGATGCATATTCCTCTGGTGTAGTTTCCTTTGAAAACCTTTCTTTGCATCATCCACACCAGACGCTGCCACCTTGAAGTCTCACGTTCAGACGTGTGCGTATTCTTGGGTTTCCTTTCAATGACGTGTTAATAGCTGATGCATTTTGCTGCCATTTATAGATGTTACAGATTTTCTACAGATTGCAGGGGTTCTTCCACTGGGTGGTGCAGGTGGGCATCTGAAGGGGCTGACATGTATGCAATGAAATAAAAAAAAACAAAACAAAGCACCAGTGGCAGCCATCCCACAAGATAGAGTCACACCGAGGCCTACGATGGGATAGAGTGATGCTGGTTATGACAGTATATTTCAGGACCGATCAGTTGGAAAAGAGCATCAGCACATCAGCCACAAAAGAAAAACATAACTAGGTCACCATAATACAATATAATACACTGAACCCAACAGAATTCAATAACGGTACACTCGCCTGAGGTCCACTCTGCTCACCGGGTTCAGTCAGGCATATAGGAACCTCTGAACGTATCACAGTCCATTTACACAAACTGACTTGCTGGCAGGCCGACAGAACTCAATTATGAGAGCGCCAACATCTGAATCAGCTCCTGCATGTCAGCTGGACACCACCACACTCATTATGATCACAGCACTGATTCTACCTGGGAGACTTGAACCCATACGAGTCTTATTATTACTAAAAAATTAAATATCTTCTGATTTGCTCACATAAGTTATTTGTGCACACTGTGAATAAAAAAAAAAAAAGAAAGAAAGAACCATCTATTGTCTGGCAAATGTAGCACCACACCGTGGGTGGTTTTTACAAACGGTAGATTTCTTCACATCCTCATCCTGTTGTACTTCCCCTTTACTCTAAACCAATAAAACAACTCGGCCGGCTCAATGAGCTGAATATCCTGAGTGCAGTTTCACGATAGGAGGTTCTTGCTACTAGGAACTTTAACCCAACAACAAAGAGATGCTGTGTATGTCTGTGGTAAATTATCTGAACTGTAGTTGCAGTAAAAGCAGTGGATCTATTTTTAGCGTGGAGCAAAATGCAGAGTGTGTGCGATGTGTGATCCTCACTTGAGCGGTTCGTCGAAGCGGATGGTGGCAGCGCAGTGGAAGACGATGTTGATGCAGGCCGTGAGCTTCTCCACGTCCTCTGGGCTGATGGCCAGGCCGGGCTGCATCAGCTCGCTGCTGATTGGGATGATCTTCTGGTGGAAGTCGGGGTTGTCCTCCCTCACTCGGTCGAAAAGCTGCCAGAAAACACACACAGACAGACAGACATGTCAACCAGCTCATCAGCAGCACAGCTCTAAATAATGCAGGACAATTGATAGACAATAACAAATTATAATTCTGCTCGTCAAGCACTGGAGCTGGAGGACAGAACGGCTATTAAAAGTGACTCAAACAGCAACAGCTAAACACTAAAATAGCATGACATGAATGCAAATGATCTCAAGTAAGCAGATACACCAAACGTGTTACTTTGCATAATCGCCTCAAGGAACACTCTAACCCTGTTAGGTTCCATATCATCACCAGATTTGTTTCTGATCCAAAGAATCTCAGCGTTTTTATTTCCAGAAAACAATAAACATGGATGACATAAGACGGGTCAGACAGGAGGGTCAGTCGGCAGCGATGTTTAGGCTGCTGGCAGAGCGTCGGAGATGCAGCAGTGAAAATGCGTGACCTTCTCTTACAAGGACACCGTATCTGTCTGACACAACCCCAACATCCACAGCTTTTTAAAAGAGCAGAAAACTGTTTAAAAAAAAATGCAAAAAACAAAAAAAATACACCATTTATCAGAGCCAGAAACTTTAAAAACAGGGAAAATTGTTGCATTTTCAACTTTGAAAGTCCTTGAACTAATCATCTATGACATGCCGTTCTGTCGGAAAACAAATCCAAGACTAATTGAAAAATTCACCAAAAATAGATTCTTTGCTCCAACCAGATACCGTAAAAGGCAACATTCTGTTCTCCACAGTGTAATCGGGAAACCATTAGTGACTCAGCTGCAACCAACAGTCACAAGACAAATATGTTGGCACTTTTTGGCTGAACTGCAGGCTGTGGTTTACACACCGCAGATAGGAGGAAACTATTAGAAATGTAAGTTGTAAAATATCCACGGCATGCAGCGTCAATATTATTCCCAGCATTGATATCACCTCTGAGCACTTTTTGTCAAACTAATTCTTTTTTTTTTTTATTATTATTGATGACAATATAACTTTCTTATACTGCACAAAAGACCTGCTGTTGTTAAATTCTCTGTACTTCGAGCCATTTTTGTGCTTTTTCCAGAGAGGTGCAGGACTTTACACTGCGGTAAAAAAAAAAAAAAAAGGCAAAAAACCTCCAGAAGCTGCTTGAAGTTCATACTGTTAAACCTAGTGTTGACCCCATTAATGTAGATTTATCTGACTGTGAGTATATTATTATATTTCCCAACCCAACTGGCAGCATCTAAAACATCTGAACGTGTAAAAACAAAAGCAGGAAGGAACTTCAAGTTGAAATTTCAGCACCAATCACTTTCAGATTAATTGAAAGGCCTCTTGTGTCAAGACAATTAGTCAATAAAGGAACTGCACATATTGATCAAAGTCTTCATTAGAGCAGATTTTGGTTAATTAACTGCTTCTGGCTAATAAGCTGCTTCATTATTCAGTCAAGTAAAATGGAGATATGCCTGCGCTGGTATTTACGCAGGCTGCAGGTGTGCTGGATTAAGGTGCATATGTAGTACAGGAGAAGTAGGCTGCTGCGGCTCAACAAGTTTTATTCATTTGTGCTGTGAGTCAGACGGAGGAGTGTTTCCTGATAAATGTCTTAATGCAAACACGGCACACGCAGGTTTGTGACTCAGCTCTGAAAACTAATCGCCTCACTGAAGGAGAACATGCACTCCCTGCTGTATACATAACACTATCAGGGCTGTACATGCAAAAGAAATACCTCTGACCCCTATCTGACAGTGGAAGCCTGAACATTTGTCCCTCTGTTCACGATACGGTCGCAATGACACACGTGTAACCCAACACAAAGCCCCGCTTGTGTGATATTATCCCACCTGTTTACACTGCTGTTTGCTGACGGAGGGCCGCGGCCGACATTCCAACATGGAGGGGGGATTATGTGAACTCTCGTCTAGATTTACCAGCTCATGTCTCGCACACAGCCCTCGCTGCCTGACACCCTGCGGAGAGCCGAGTGCTGCACCAGAGGCCCTGCAGGACTGTACACGAAGCTGTTGTTTCAGGAGATGCTATCCAAAAAGGCAGAGGAGTCGGATGTCATATTGCGTCATGCATTTCTGTTTTTTTTTTCAGTGCGGTTCTTATCAGGAGTCGCAGAAAGAGTAGCAACCGCTCCGTCACCAAGATGGCTGATATTTCTGGCCGGCTGTGCACAGATATTTACAGATAGGCGGTAAAGGATGGCATGAGAAGGAAAAAGAGAGGGGGAGTGGAGGGATTGCCATCAAAGTGCGTGCTATTTGTTATGAAATTGCTGCTGTGTGTGTGTGTGTGTGTGTGTGTGTGTGTGTGTCAGCTGTCCCAGTAAGCAGAGCTCTCTTGCTGAGGAGGACAGATGTTGAATTAAACAGCTCCAAACAGCTGTTTATATTCATGTTCTGCATCCTCATCAATCTTCTGCTTTGTAAAGCCATCCCTCCAGATACTCTCACACCACGCTGACCATATTAGGCACACGTCCTGACGTACAGTATGCAAATGCTACAACCCGAACCATTCGTAAGCGGCGGAGAGCAATGCAAGCAATACTTTGTGCATGACAGTGGAGCACTGTTAATATTATGTAATGCAGAAATAATAGTGTTTTCCTCCCTCTGCTCTGGGCCAACAGCTGGCAGTAACAGCAGCAGAGAGTCTGCAGAGAGCGGCAGTAGAAGAAGAGATTTAATGTGCAGCTTTCTCACAAAAAATCTCTCCAAAAATATCAAACCAGAGTGTGTTTTACTGCACAAACTGTTCCCTCCTTACTGTGTGATTCACTGAGCGGTTGATGTCATGTAGTGACCTCAGTTCAACTTCCTCTTGAGGGTGTGTAGCTTGGCAGCAACAACAAACCACCCAAAATGCAGCAGAGGCTTCGTCATATTTCCCACAAGTACCGCAAGTCTTCAGAAAAAGTTGACTGAAAACAGAAGTAAACTCTTTATGCGTCCAGCCCTGTGCTAGACTGTGACAAGGGCAGCTGTCAGGGAGACATCAGGCGAAAGAGCTGTGGGGAAGAGTGCTGTCTGGTATGCTGAGGAAGCCTCACCTGTCTAGAAACACCTAAACTGTTTTCACAAGTGCTCAAACACGGTAACATCTCTGTGGTAGTGAAACTGTCATTCATGAGGTTGGGTGAAAACCACTTTAGCAACAAGCCAACACCAGAAATAGCAGAATGAAGAACCTCCCAAATACCGCAGCAGGAAAGAAATGATGGATTGAAGGGAACTCCACAGAGCACCGTGTGGTTTTTTTTTTAAGGTTCTGACTCACAGTAGTGCTAGACCGATTAGTCAGTTGGCTGATTAACCAGGCCAGTTTGGGATATCTGGCATCGGCTGTGTACCGGGCGGATGGCTAATAGGGGCTGTGTTGGGTTGACCTTCACCAGCATGACCAGCTTCTGCAGCTAATGGGCTGTTTTCTACGGTGAATGTGAGCCAAGATAAAACTAGGACAATGCATTTGCAACCACAAAATGACCCAGTACACTTACTAATGCTGTTGCTAGGAGCACTGACACTTTACTTTTGCTCAAGTTTTTTTTTGTGATGACCTGCAAACATATGTTTAACTTTAAAATTCAAAATAAGTGCAGAAAAACTGCACATCTAGAGGCAGTACATAAGTTTATGCAAGTTAAACAACTGTGGCACATTTGTTATTAATAAATTGTGCTTTTTATTATGCTTTTTTTGTAGAAATCCACAATAAAATATTATATAGGGCTGGAAATATGCATCAGAAGCAAATGTTTTATATCAGTAGATATCCATAATAGTTTCTTATATGAATACAATGATTTTATTATGAATATTTTTTATATTTTAAGTAAAACCAGAGCGAAAAAGGTTCATTTTCAATGTAACCACCTTAATTTCAGTGAAATAAAGTTTTCACCCATGTGCCTTGACAATTATTATTATTAGAACAATAAAATATACACACAAAGAGTACAATTATGAATAAAAGACCAAGAGCATCTGGCATTATCAAGTCCTGATCTGACATTTACACTTATCTTAAATAAAAAAAAAAGCCAATAAAATGTGCATCAATCAGCCAAGGAGTCCAGCATTAACAACAGCACCTGCATCACGTTTTCTACAAAGTGTTTGCTCTACTTCCCGTCATGTTGTGTGTGTAGTATCTCAAGAGACCAGTGTCATGTTGAAGCTGTAGAGGCTGAAATGCATGAACTTTGAAACTATTCAGAAAGCTTTTGTACATTACCATAATTATGCAAATACAGGAAGTTCAGCAATTACTCAATAGCGAGAATTTAGAAATTTACTGGCGTGGCCCATCTGCAAAGCGTTGCAGAGATTTTCTATGTGAAAAGCAGAAACAAGCTCCCACCTTCTCACTTTTATCAGTTACTTTATTGGGTTATGAAAATCTGCGCCTGCTATGATACACAGAAACGCAGCCCTCATTCACGATTCAACCCCATCAGCTACCGTACGCCTGACAGATAAAAAAATGAAACAACTTTTTAGTGTATTCTGTGACTACAACTCACACTAAAATCGTAGCATGAATATTCTACCAATGTGGGTACACTCAGCTAGAAAAAAAAAAAAAAAAGATATTTCTGAAGCAGCACTAAGCCAAAGCTAAATTATAGAAAAGACACAGAATGGAGAAAGTGCACCAGGGTCAAAAGGGTGAATGAGGCTGTACAATGTGGGCTTCAGAGAGCTCTTTGTTACGGGCACAGGCAGAGAACGGCACTGTGGGATTGTGGCGTTGTTTAGAAAAAAAGGCTCTTTGGATGATAAGTGGTCTTGTGCCAGCCTTCCACCGCTCGCATTTACCACTGCACCCTTCTCCGACCCACGGGTGTCAGCGAGCAAACTGCCTTGCACAGGAAGACAATAGTTCAGTTTGCAACACTGAGCGAGTGCAAAACACATCCCCACATCCATTCCTGCAGCGTAACCACAAGTGTTTTCGTAGTGCATCTTGTGGTAAGTCATAGAGAGTCACAACAAGCA